GATATGTGGGCAGTCTGACTCTCTATCAATAGTAAACAAATGAACAAGTAAGTTAACTAGGATTCAATTATCTTGATTCCTCTTTTTTTTAATTGTGAAAATACTGTACAGAGGAGTTACAATTACATGGGCAAGATAATGAGTACATTTCTTATCAAGCATTGTAGCCTCCTCCTTTGTTTCCCCTTCCCATCCTCCCCCCGCCCCCCCCATCCAATCCTCCTATTCAAAGGATTTGTTTCCTCTCTTTAAGCTAGTACATATGGTTACAGTAGTTATAAATATTTAGGAGGATTCTATGGAAGTTTGGCCATATGGAAAAAAATAGAAGGATAAGTTAATGGCCACAGGGATGTAGGGATAACTAACATTTTGCCTAGGAATTTCTTTTTTTTGTTTTTAAATTTTATTTTATTTTTTATTGTGAAAATATCGTACAGAGGGGTTACAATTCCATGAGCAAGGTAATGAGTACATTTCTTTTTTTTTTCAATTTACAAAGAAGAACTGTTTCAATTTATTTCCATTCAACTAAATAAACTGTTATCGAGGGCCTTCCAAATACACTACAAATTGTTTCCAACAACTAAAATCCTTGGTTAAATTTTTTTTCTTTCTTGCAATTGTTTCTTTTTTTTTCTTCTTTTTATTTATTTATTTATTTTTTATTTGTGAACATACTGTACAGAGGGGTTACAATTACATGGGCAGGATAATGCGTACATTTCTTACCAAGCATTGCAGCCTCCTCCTTTGGTTTACCCTTCACATCCCTTCCCAGCCTCCCCCCCCCCCCCCCAATCCCAACCCTTCTCCTTCCCCCCCTTTCCCCCCCCCCGACCGACGTTGTAAAGCTCGTTTTGGACATGACAACTTATTTGATGTCAGTATAACTTGTGGAGGAGAGGGGGAAAAAGCAGTTGTTTAAGGATACAGGTGGACCTGATGCAACAACGAGAAGTATAAATTGTCATGTCCAAAATGAGTACATTTCTTATCAAGCATTGTTGCCTCCTTCATTTCCCCATCCCATCCCTTCCCATCTCTCGCCCCATACCCCTCATACCCTCCCAGCACCAAAGTTGTAAAGTTCATTTTTTTACATAATATCTTGTACATCTCATTGTTGCAATGGGTCCACCAGTATCCCTATTTAAACAATTTGTTTTTTCCCTTCCCCTCCATGAATTATACCAACATCAAATACAGTGAAAACACGGGTTATACCCTGGGGGAGGGACATACAAAGCAACAAAAAAAAATCACCTTATAAATATGTTAGCAATAGCAATAGCAAGAAAGGAAAACCATTGAGTCCTTATCTTAGGGTTCATTTCACCTAACATCAGTTTATCTGACTGTTTCTGCTTGTCTCAGACATATACTAGTTATTGCAAATAAGAGAAACCACGGAATCTATGTTTCTTTGGGCCTGGCTTACTTCACTTCATATAATTTTTTTCAAGTCTTTCCATTTCCTAACAAATGGGACAGTGTCATTCCCTCTGATGGAGGCATAGAATTCCATTGTGTATATATACCACATTTTCTTGATCCATTCATTTACTGAGGGGTATCTGGATTGGTCCCATATCTTAGCTATGGTAAATAATGCTGCAATAAACATAGTTGCCTAGGAATTTCTAAAATGGCTATTACTTTGCAACTTTTGCAGGTTTGAAAAGTAGTACATGGAGATATTTCCAAAAGAGGAGGAAACAGTGAAGAATCTGAACCTAACTTGCCCACTTGTGGCTGCATATTACAAATTATTCTATCAACACAGAACTATCTCCATGCCCTTCCCTGCGATAATGTCTTTGAACTATTTCTCTAAGTGAATAATTTCCAACAACAAACTGAAATCAGAAAACTATGTGAACTATGTCACGTATGCTTTTTCCTCTCCAGACAAATTTACACCTACTGCCTGCTTCTATGACATGGGACATGATTATAAAGCACAAGGGCTTTGATGATGTTCGAGCTGAACAAAAACACAAAAATGAGGAAGAGACTATTGTGTCCTCATCTCTAGTTCCAAGTCTGGAAGTAACCCATTAAGAAACAAATCAGCCTCAACAGTCAAAACGAAAACAGTGAGTCATGAATGTTTGTATTTGTGACAGGGATTGCACAGAGATTATACTGAGGGATTCTTGGGTTGGCACCAGCTGCTGACCTATCAAGGACTCTGGAGTTATCTGATGTTTCTATGATCAAAATTCCTCCATGTTTAAGAAATTAAAAAAACTCTCCTTTGGCACACAGGGATTATTCTGTATTCTGGTTCTCATTGGACCTTATCAAAGATGAGAACATTTATAAAGCAATAAAAATAAGTAGTACCTCTAAAGTCACTGGAAAGTGGGGGAAATTTGATTTTTGGCTTTCAAGATAGATAAGCACTGTCTGTTCCTTTTATTTGTTATTTCCAGACATCATGTGCTCTCATGTAGCTATCTACATAAACTCGAGACCATGAGACTCACAGAATATTTTCTGAGCAAAATTTTTTCAACCCACATGCCTACTTCAAAACATTCCCTAAACAGTCATCCTGCAAGAATCTACTATTCTACCAGTGTGCTCAGTACAATAAATCAAAGTAATGTGTTTTGGAGTTACTATGCTCAAGGAATTTACCAGGTAACTGGCCAGATAAGAACAATATATGCTAGCTGAGTGCCTGAGTCTTGTCCCTATAATTCTAGCTACTCAAGAGGCTGAGAGATGATTGCAGTTCAAAGCCAGCTTGGGAAGAAAAGGTTCATAACACTCTTTTCTCCAATTAACCAACAAAAAAGCTGAAAGCAAAATTGTGGTTCAAGTGGTAGAGAGCCAGCCTTGAGTGAGGAAACGAAAGAACAGTGAATGCCCAGGCAGTGAATTCAAGTCTCAATAAAGACACAGACACATGAAAAGAACAACATATACAAAACACACATCACATGTGATATGTTTAATATAGATATATAGGCTTCTAATTTGAAAGTTTGTTTAAATATAAAGACCTATATACAGTTAATTGTTTTTATGTACAAGGTTAAGCATTGGCCAATTTATAAAGATAGAAAGTATATTACTGGTTGCTTAGGGCTGTCGGGAGGGAGAGTCAGACAGAAAAAAATGGAATTTGATTGCTAGCTGTTGTCCTATCCTTTAAATGTTAAACATTTAAAGATAAATTATAAAAATGATTTAAGGTTAGACATAATATCAAAATAAAGGAAGAATATGTTCTGCTTCTTTCATTAGTGTTTGTTTGGTGACTATAAAATTCATGCATTACTTTATTGTTAAAGTAGAACATTCTACTAGGGATTCTTTTTTTTTTCTTTTTCTTTTTTTTTTTTAGCAGTCATGAGTCTTGAACTCTGGGCCTGAGCACTGTCCCTTAGCTCTTCAGCTCAAAGTGAGCACTTTACCAGTTGAGCCACAGAGCCACTTCCTCCAGTTTTCTGGTGGTTAATTGGAGATAAGGGTCTCATAGACGTTCCTGCCTGGGCTGGCTTTGAACCACAATCCTCAGATCTCAGCCTCCTGAGTAGCTAGAATTACAGGCGTGAGCCATCATTGCCTGGCTTTACTATGAATTCTTAAAACACACACACACACACACACACACACTAGACTATGGTGTATTCAACCTGATGTTCTCAGGACTTATCACAGCATTCAAAAATTAGCAAATATTTGTTACATGAATAACAGATTCATTGCTCTAAATTTATTACTAATTTACCTACACTACACAGGGGTTAAATATAGTTTAATTAATTTACCAGGAGGATACAAGCTATCATTTTATAAAAGCATTTATATGAGAATATATATTCAAAACAAAAATAATAAAATGTACCAAAACCCTGCTAACATCGTTCTACTCATAAAAAATAAAACAAGGTCCACTACTCTAATGTCCCACCTCCCTACCAGATAAATGTTTGTGTTCTCTAGCAACACTTAGATATTTGGGTATCAAACCCAGGGCATTCCAAACCTCCAGGTTGTGAAATATTGTTCCTAGAAGAAAGGCTTTTGAGGAATAATGATTATCTTCTTCAAAGTAAACCCAAAGCTTTTTATAAGACAGCCTTTTCTTTTTGTCATGTTATAAAAGCACACAGACAAATAAAAGTAGTTGAGGAAATTACTGTTCAATGAGTCAGTACACACATGTCTATCTGTACACAGCCTTATCTAATGTACAACTATCTTTTTGTATGCTGTATTTTATGTTTCACTTTATTTTCATTGAAATTTTTCAGAAATTATGAGGTAAAAGAACCCCCTAACACCAAAAGTCGTCGATTAATGGTACTGGTTTAGAATCAGGATCCCCATCTAGACAATTATAATAAACCTCATAATTATATGTCTCCTGTCCTAACATTTACATAAATAATTATTGAACTTACCATCATACAAATTTACCAACCAATACTGTATATTTCCAAATAAATTTGCCCATTTTCCAAATTGTTATAAAAATAATCAACTCCAAACTCTTTGCTTTGCCTCTACTTCAAAAATTTAGTCACTGGAGATTATACATACAAAGTCAAAGATATCTTTTATGATAAAACAATTTTATATTTAATTATCTGATAGTAGATCAGTGCTTTATGGTGTCATTAAAATTATTAAATTCTTCCTCTTATATAATTTTTGGAATAAAAACAACAGACTATGTAAATACCCACTAGGACCTTTGTCTCACTAATGTGTGAATAAAATTCCTATCATTTCAAAATGAGATTTATTATGATCAAGCCAGCCTATTATTTTACAAATATATTTCATCTATTTTATATATTTGCAAACTTATTAGATCAAGGTCATGTATTTTAGTAATTAGTCCATTCATAATAGCTTACTCCCTATAGGAAATTTCAACATTTATAAATTGACTAGTTGAACAAAAAGCAAACCACATAACTTGACTGGTATTGAGGTTTTATGTTTTTAACTAGAAATTTTTTCTTATAATTGCATACCTCTTCCAGTTGACATGCTTTGATGACACTTCTATATCTATACTCATCATAGGAAACACCAAAAACAATGTTTTCTTTGATGGTACCAGGCATGATCCAGGAAAACTGAGAACAGAATGAAATTCTTCCACTGTGCTTTATTTTACCCTCTGAAGGCTCCAACTCTCCCAAAATCATCATCAGGAGTGATGTCTGGAAATGAAAATGATTGTTATTTAAATTGTTTGATCACACCACTGAAATCAGTATTCACTTTGCCTCCATTCCAAATAAAGGTATTGCTTCTAACTTCTAAAGATAATGTTCATTCATTTTGGTTCAAAATGCTTGAGGTAATTCTTAATCCAGACACTATGATATGCATAGTATATACCAAGGGAATAAAAGAGAACATAGCATTGTAATGTGACATGTATTAGGAGGAAGGTTTATATGGGAGAGACTTCTACATCATATTGCTGAGATGGGTTTAGATCTGTGATGGTTTGTCACCACAAACCATTTGTTGAATTTCTTATTCTGTGCTGGATGTTTTCTATATGATTTAATTATATTGTTTTGTATTCTTCACAATAATCTTGCAAAGTAGGTACAGAATGATCTTTATTTCATAACAAATACCAGGCTAAAAAGTAAATATTCAAACAATAAGTTTCCTGAAGTAAAATATGATCCAAGATTGAGCTTCAAAAAATTGTCAGTGAACAAGACCAGAAAGTGAAGTCACAGCTAAAGTTTCCATATTGAAGAACAGATACTAAATATGATATATGTCTTAGAAGAAAGCATGAATAAAAAGTAAGTATACAAAACAAAGGAAACTATACAGATGTGAGGTACAGAGAAAAAATTTGGTGTTGGCCTTATCAAGAAAAGTGGGAAGTCAAAGGATATCATTTAAAGTTAACAAATGACAGCAAAAAAGCATAAGAATGTTTAACAATACAAAGATAAACATTAAGAAAGATAATATACAATGGAATTCTATACTTCCATCAGAAAGAATGATTGTACCATTCATAAGAAAATTGAAAGACTTGGAAAAAACTATGTAAAGTGAAGTAAGTCAGACCTAAAGAAATATAGGTTGCATTTGCTTTAAATACAATGTGACTATACATCTACAAGTAAACAAACTGGAGAATAAAAGACAAAAACATGATAAGTTATACAGGACTCTACACATTTACACAGCGAGACCAAAGGAGGATGTTCTTAGGGGAGGATCACAATGGCTCAATAGCTATGTGCATATAATCATATAAAATGATGTTGTCAAAATAAACTCCAAGAAATGGAAACAGAGAGTTTTTTCTGTTTTCTGATTTTCTTTTGTCACTGTTTTGTTTTCTGTGCCCTTTGTCTTATATGTAAATGTATCTGTTTGGGGGAGGGTAAAGAAGAGCACAGAAATGATGGGACAAAGAATGAACAAATCCCCATGGCACAATCCCTGTTGTCATTATATTTGATTCCGGTGCCTTGAATCTTGTATATGCATTTTTCTAATTTGGGGAGGGGAAGGGAAATAACAAAATGCTGAAATAAGGATACAGGATGACCCATTGTAAAAATGAGATGTTACAAGACACTATGTTGAAAATGAACATTACAACTTTGCAGGGGACGGTTAGGGGTGTGGGGAAGTGGAGAGGAAAGGGATGGCAGGGGGAAAAAAAGAGGGGTAACAATGCTTGATAGTAAATGGGCTCATTACCTTGTTCATGTAACTCTAACCCCTCTGTACAGTATCTTTACAATAAAATATATATTTAAAATAAAAAAGTGAACAAATGCAGCGGTGATATTCACTAGACACTACGTTGAAAATGAATGATACAACTTCTGGGGAGGGGTTAGGATGGAAAAACTGGGGGAAAATGAGGAAAGAGGTAACAATGTACTCATTACCTGAATTATGTAACTCTAACTCCTCTGTACACTAACTATACAATAAAAATTTTTAAAAAGAAAGATTATACGACTCCTAAAAGTAAATAGAAATAAAGGAGGTAGCAAAAGCATTAACACCATTGATTTTTCCAGAGCTCATATGAATTAAAATTATAAAGAGAATGAAATATTGTTCATATGCTACTATAAAGATAACCACTAGAAAAAATACATAGACTTCCCTATAAAACCAAAATACACTCATCCCTTGGTATCCTAGGGAACTGGTTCAAGATCCCCCTGTAAATAACAAAACCCATAGGTCCTTAAGTCCCTTATATAAAATAATATAATGTTTGCATATAACCTGTGTTCATCCTACAATATACTTAAAACAAAATCTCTAGATTACTCACAATACCTAGTGCAATATAAATATTATATAAATAGTTGTTATACTGTATTACTAATATAGTATTATAAATTATGACCAAAAAGTATACACCTATTTTTTAAACTGATGGTTGAATATGAGGTCACTGAATCCACAGATATGGATAGCCAACTCAGCATGTATGTATACTCAGTAGTTGAAATGTATTTATATTCAATTATTATTCTCATTCAACTTCATATCTTCTCAAATTCCAAAATGTTTAAATAACTCTTTGCAGGCATTTGTGATTTTTCTTAAAATATAAGCAAAAACATAAACTAAGTGTTGATTCTGCACATATGATGCTCAGTCTTGTGAGACTAAGCTTTAGCACCACAGTGAGGTAAGAAGACACACTAGAGATGCTGTGGTACCCAAGCATCTCTCATCCACAGGCCATAGAACTTCAGGTGTGGTTAAGGCCATACTAAAAAATAATACAAAACAAAAAACACAAAAAACAAAACCGATCCGACACAGTGAAATGTCCCAGGCCAGCTTTCCATCAAGAATATTCACTGTACAAACTCCTACACTAACAGCATTTTATAAGATGACTCAAGGAAAGCCAGGCTCAGGTCTCTAATGTCTGTAACTCCGCTTGGGAGAAAGAGATGAGAAGATCACAATTCCAGTGCCAAGTCCATGAGCTGCCATGCCAATGAAGGGAAGCTGTACTCAGTGGTGCAGGCTGATGACCCATCAATGAACAAGAAGCCTAAAATAGGTGAGTAGAGGCCCGGGTGCATGCCCAAATAGGATGTAAGATCCTTTATTTTTAAGTAACCAGATAAAAAAACAAGGCTAGAGGCATATCTCTGTGCCAGAGAGCCTGTCAAGCAATAATGAGGCCCTGATTTCAAACCTCAGTAGAGCCACACAATAAAAGAGGGAGGGAGGAGAATTTCCTCAAAATACACTCTGAAACTACAAACTAGAAAAAAAAAGGAGGAAAATGCATAGCAAATCCAGTTATTATTGATGCGGAAGAAAAGAAGATACCTTGCCTGCTCCAGTAGATCCAGCAACTGCCAGTAACTGTCCTTTCTCTATCTTGAAGTTGATATTTTTCAAGACAGGCGTACCAAGAAGGGAAAAGTTACTGAAGAAGAGCTTACTGTCACCATTGGAAATCTTTCGGTTATTATTGTTTAATTTTGCTTTCTCAAATAATTCCCCAAATCCCTGCGAAAAATAAAAATAAAAAATGTAGAAGCAAGGTTTTCACATATTTTCAATAGATATGTTTTATATACAAATAGTTCAAAAAGCACATGGCACATGATTCATTATAAAATATACATTATTACTTTATAGTATGTAATCATAAAACTCAAGGTTTCTAGAGCAAATGACCTAAAACATTTGAAAATTATTGGTACAGTATTTAATACAAATATTGTTACTTTTTCTCAGAGCTTTGCTTATTATCAAGTTAATTTACATTTAAGTTTAATTAAAGATTAAATTATATGTGTATATCTGAGGAGGCACCCACAGACATTCTTTCTTTTATGGGCTCGGTACATAAATATTATTGTTTAATAATGTGATTACAGATAAATATGAGCACCCAGCATCTATTCATGTATATATCTATTATTGATTTAGTAAACATCGGTCTGCATTATAGACTAACTCAGAAATCTGACATGGGAGAATGATCCTTGAATAGAAATTTATTTTGTAACATGTCTTGTGTTAAAATTAAAACCTGCAGCAAATTCTTTTGAAAGTGCATTAGAGAAAAATTGGCTCAGCCTTGACCAAGTCAATGACATACATGCTGGTACTGAAGTAGGGAAGTGAGACTTCATGAGACCAAAATATGGTTACAGGTGGTTTAGGAAGATAGATATGTATGCATTGAAGCTAAAAGAATAGTTCCCAGGAATGGTGAGTGTCTGGCTGTTAATAGACTTACATGGTCATGCTTAGAAACAGGACTTTTATCCATAAAGACTTGGATCAATAGAAGATTATTGAAATTTGAAAAATATAGGAAAGCAGTTAAAAGAAAATAGAAATTACTTGTAGCTTTAACATTGAGAAATAACTACATTTAACCTCTCAGTTGATAAGCCACTATTCTTTTACATATATATTTTCATATATAGAGTCAAATTCAATTTTTACATTGATAAAAATTATATATGAAACTTATACCATTAAATATGCTTCCTTGGAGCAGGCAGACTAAACTCAGGGCTGTGTGCTTGCTGGGCAGGCACTCTACAATTGAGCCATGCCTTCAGCCCTTTTTACATTATTATTTTCAAAGTCCAATCTCACTTATACTGGGGTTGGCATGGGCTGTGATCCTCCTACTTGCGCTTCTGTGCATCACTGGGAATGGCAAGCATGTGTCACTACACCTAGCCATTAAGCTACCAGAGTAGCTAGGATAACATGCACATTCTACCAAACTTCACAAATTCCTTTTTGCCTCTGCCAGTCCCAGACTGCGATCCCTGATTGCTTCTTCTTAAGCAGTTAGGATGACAGGCTTGAGCTACCACGCCCAGTTTAAATATTCTTCTTACTATAATTTTAAGTGTAAAATAATATCAGAGTATAAAGTGTGAACAGTTTTCAACCAGACACGCTCCTTTCTAACTTAATAACTGCTGCATGTAGTTTGCTATAAATCTTGTGTTTATAAATTTTATACACATGTGTGTAAGTTATTGTTTAGTCTCAGTTCTCTCAAGGGGAACTTCCATAGCTATGTACCAGTTCAAGTCTTTCAATATATGGTCCCAAGTCTTCCTCTAGGAGTGTAAGAAAATGTCAGTTCCCAGGAACCCTCAGTGATAATCAACCCTATTGCACTTTGCTTCTGTCTTTCTGTGTGGCAGTACTTTCAAGCAGGAAGTCGGATTTTACAGTAGTAGTTGTGTTTATTTGATTTCTAGTCCTACTGAGCACTTTACTTGTCTAAGAGTCCTCTTCCAAAGTTGGGAGAGCCGTTATGATACCCTTTGTCTCTGTGTCATTTTCTCAGCAGGATCAGTAAAATCTGAAAAATGCTTATAAGTCTGAGTTTCAATGTCCTGAGTTGTTGAGGCAATAAATGAGGTAATATATGGGAATTCACTTTGTACACAGCAAAGCAACACTTAAATAAATTGCAGGCAAGAATTAACTCTCTAAACCACGTAATTGAGAAATATAAAGGAAGGGGTGGATCCAAGGGGGGGTGAAGATGTTGAAGTGATGACACAGATCAAGATGCATTTTATGTTAAATGGCAAAAACAATTTCAATACATAATCTGAAATGAAGTCAGAGAGGGTGTCGGAGGGGTGGGTGAGAACATTGAAAGGGGTGACACTGATTAAGAAGCACTATATTCATAAACTGCTTTGGTGAATGGCAACTCCTTTGTACAACTACATAAAGATAATACAAATGTTTCTAAAAGATAAAAAATGCAGGATTGCAGCAGCAATGAGACTCACAAGACACTATGCTGGAAATGAATTACAACTTCAGGGAGGGAGGAGTCGGGGAGGTCGGGAAGGAAGGGGGTAACAGTGCTCAATAGGAAATGTACTCACTACGTTACTCATGTAACTGTAACCCCTCTGTACAGTAAAATAAAATAAAATTTACAATAAAATAAAAGTTAAAAATAAAAATAAATTGCAGTATGATGAATTGGAAAGGGCTTTGGATACAGAGAAACCTAGGATAACCCTGTAGCTTTGAGCTAGCTAGTTGAGTAAACCTGTACTAGTTACATAAATCTTCTTAATGTATAAATAGAATGTTTCCTCGAAGGTTTGGCAAGAGGGGGAAGCTATGGAATGCATTAGTGAACTGACTCTCAGGTGATACCGTCAAAGGACTTGGAGAATAGACTGGAGCACGTGGGATAATGAAACTTGGGGAGTGTAAAAATATTGGAAGCCCAAGTTTGGGAAAGAACCTGGGGCCAGGGATTTGCTTTAGAGGCTCATCAATATTCTGGCATCGATGAAGCCCAAGTGAAATCACCCAAAGGGAACATGAAGTGTTTGAGGATGTTCAAGGGGGACCTTGTGGCCCACCACCACTGAAGTGATAGGCTCATCAGCAAAAGAGAGAAGATTGGTAAGGTTGAGTGAGCAAGAATCATTTAAATGGAAAGTCATTCTAAGCATTGAGAAGCTGGAACCTACAAATGTGGCAATGATCTCTATTGTTTAATGTATTACAGATTCTGACAGAGGATATTGGGAAATTTTTGGAAGTTTAAGAAAATGGTAAAGGAAATTACAGAAAGTGAAAAAGGTTTTCTTAGAATCATAACAGGCCCAAATTAACACTGAACCCACAAATGCATGAATCTTACAACATATGTTTCTTCAAATAACATGCCTAATAAAACTGATAAATGTTTTCCAGGAAAAAAATAGCAAAAGAGGAATTGGAATTGAAATTGCAGAGTCTTACTGTGTATCCCAGGCTAGCCTCTGATTCATGATCCTCCCGCCTGTACCTCTTTAGTGCTGGGATTACAGAAGTGCACCGTCACACCCAGAAAATACTACTCTTTGAAGTTTGGAAAGCATATAATCTTTTTTTTTTTTTGCCAGTCATGGGGCTTGAACTCCAGGTCTGGGAGCTGTCCCTCAGCTCTTCAGCTCAAGGTTAGCACTCTACCACTTGAGCCACAATACCACTTCAGGCTTTTTCGGCTTATGTGGTGCCAAGGAATCGAACCCAGGGCCTCATGCATATGAGACAAGCACTCTACCATTGAGCCACCTTCCCAGCTCTATATATTATCATTTCTAATAGTAAGGTAATAGGTCATTTTTAAGAGTGAATAAAATTAAGGAAAAATAGTTTTAAACAAAGAACATTGGTATATGCCTACATCATTTAGTGACCAGTGCATACAGAAACATTGGACCAGAACTCTGGATCAGGGAAGGTTAATGTTCATTAAGTTCATTTAGCTCATTCAGTTACCGTTCATTTAGTGTATGTGACTTGAGTGAGAATTTTATATAAATCATCTTAGTCTTCACAGCAAATTTTACAAAGGGAGAACCAGATGCTACCAAAAATTAAGCAACTCCATTTAGATTATAAAAAGAGTAAATGGCAGAGACAAGATTACAACCCCAAATAAAAATCTGTGATCTTTGTAGTACTTCCTGACTTGTGATGATTAGGAAGACATAGAGGTTATGATATTGGATTAATTTCCTTGGGTCTATACTTACCTTCTAAAATTAGTAGAGTGGTCCCTCATCCCAGTTCTAGCAGGTAGATTATGATGCTAGCCTTGTTTTCCATTAGCATGACATCTAGATTCACAAAGAAGAAAGGCTAGGGTGATCTAGAGAAAACAGTAAAATTCTCACCTCTTCCCAGAAGGCTGTTACATTCTCCATCACTACTTCTGTGGTTGTTAGGTTATATTCCAGTGTCTTGTATTCTTGCTTTTGTAAGAAATCCTAGTTGTTAGCAAGAGTAAAAGCAGAGTGTGAAATCAAAATCGCATTAGAGCAGTACTACATCTGTTTTACATTCGACAGAGCTACGTCTTATATGTGGATTTTATCAATTAAGTTGCATGTTATTCCATACTAAAATAACTTTCTAAGAGAATACTGAGTTATTTCATCAAGTTCTAGAATTCATCCTATTTGGAACATGCCCTGTAAATATGCTCTATTTTATGAAACTCATATATTAGATTTTTAAATCTATATACTATGACACATTAATCTTTGCAATGAACTTACAAAGTATTCATGAACTACATACTCATTTGCTGGCATTTAGTGTGAGGACAGAGGGAAAATGTCTTATTTTCATGGTAGGAGTCATTTGCATCCTTTTAAGGATTAAGGTATGAAAAAATCACCTAACTGCTTTCAAGGGCTCCAGTATGTTCTAAGAAAAGAATTCTATCCAAGATTTAACTACACATTTCCTAAGGAAAGTAGAAATAGAAGACTTAAGTCTGTGCACCCTAAAGTCTTCATCAAATAAAGTTGTGAGAAAAAGCTGAACAGGTGATCCTTGCCTGGCTTCTTCCCTTCCTTCTCTCTGTCCCTCTAGCTGTCTCTATCTCTCTCTTACCCAGTCTCTCTGTCTGATAGTATGTGTGTGTGTGTGTGTGTGTGTGTGTGTGTGTGTGTGTGTGTGAGTGAGTGAGAGAGAGAGAGAGAAAGAGAGAGGAACTTAGATGTGATATGGAGGACTTATTATTCCCAGGGCCAATATAATTCTAAGCTCTAGTCACCACTGCCTAATTCACAGATTCAACACAGATTCACACTCAGTCCCGAAGGTGAAGCAGATGATCTAAGTAAGTAAGAGGGCTGATGAACTGGGCAGGGGAGGTACTCTGTGGGAGGGTAGCTGCCTAGCTTGAGTGGAAAGAGGACCCAAATGATAGGCATTTCAGTTCTTCAAAAAAGGTGAAAGCCATGGTTTTTTGTATATATGTGTATATGTTTGACATCTCTCCATTTTTTAATTGGTAGCAAGTAATTCCAAATTTTAAAATGTGAAATACAAACACAACAGATCTAAGAGCCAATATTAGGTGATAGCCACTATCTGCCATCTTTGGCTTAGAAATAAATAGTAAACAGTAAATAAGTAAGTAGTAACTAAAATAAAATAAGTACTAAGTAAAAGTGATTCAACCTTTTCTACTTATTTTTATTTCTGCCACAGTAACTTAATTTCTGGGTTTGATGTTTAAAGATGCATTTTTAAATGATAACAAAACAGTTTATGTGATTATTAAATAAGCATATCTTAATTCAATTAGCTTTGTATAAATTAAGTCTCATCACCTGAAAACTCTGCTTGGGTTTTAAGTGCTTAATGTAGCACAAAATGCCACTGTCACCTATTAGCCCGGCCAAGAAAATGCTAGGAAAAGTTTAAGACAAGCATTCCTAAGACTGGCTGGTATGTTTAACTTTCTAGAGAACCATTTCTTTTTCAATCTGTTTTCACATTTACAAAGTTTATTAGAGCCAATATAGTCACCGAGGATTTAGATGAAAGTCTCCAGATTGCAGAGATATTACAGTTCTTTTGACTTCTGAGAATCTCTCAGAACATCATTGCCTTTCGCCAGAGCTCATTAAACCACAAAAGGAATTTCATACTTGAATAGGTTCAAGACCAAGAATTTATCTCTGGAGGTTTGCTTGCTAGAACAATTCTAAATTGTTTCAGAATCACGATGTGTGCTGGTTGGTTATGGTACATTACCTGTATTTTGTTTATTGCTCCGAGAGAGTCATACCATGTTTGCACAGCCCCTGGGAATTGTCGTGTGACTGCCATGCGCAGAACGATGCAGAAGGAGATGGTTGTAAATATTTTTCGAAGAATGATTCCTTTGATGAACGCATAGGGAAGCACAGACAAAATCACCACAAACAAGCCAGAGAAGAAGAAGGCTGAACTATTAAAGTATCTCACATAGGCTGCCTTCCGGGTCAACTTTAGTTCCGTTCTACAAAAAAAAACAAGAACAAAAAAGGTGAAGGACGTGATTTTATTTTTCAGATATCAAACATATTGTTTATATTCAACATATTCAAAGATATTGTTTGTTATTGATCAAATATTTTTATTTTATTTTTGAAATATCAAATAGATTGAAACACAAAATATGAACATGAACCCTAGAGTCTTTCTGCCGTTTTGTTTGTTTATTTGTTTCTGGTATCTAGGTTTGAATTCACGGCCTCAAATTTGAGCTATATTCCAGGCCTACTGCTTATGTTTTGATCTTGGCTCCTACATGAGCTGTGTGACCATGGACAAGTTATTAAACTTCTTTGGCCCTAAGTGACTTTATCTAAGAAGCAATAAATAATGAATGTACCAGTGCTTTGCATAAATAGCTGTATATATAATCTTTAATTATAGCTAATAATGTAATCACATTCACATTTTTATATCTTTACCTCACTATTAATTGAAAAATTTATGAAACTGGTGATTATTGTTCCTTTGTTGATATTTTAATTAATTAAGTGTGAGAAGGACAGTACTGAAAAATTTATGAAAGAAAAAGACTATTTTGTGATTACTTAACCGAATCTTAACATTTTACAAATTCTAGCTTAGCTTTCAATAACACTTGAAATAACATATATCACAGAGGAGTGATTCTAAAACCTTACAAGGATAAAAATAACACAACAAATTCCTTAAATAAGATCACTTCTAGAAAAACTGATTGAGTGAATCTGCAGTAGGTCTCTTGAAGCTTCATTTTTAAAAACTGTTGCAAATCATTTCTAAGAGATTAAGAGAATAGATATTACATCAAATCTCCCTTGTTTAAGTATAAATATTTTCAATCACACTACATCTTATTTTTAATCTTCTAGACTCCAATGTAAATATAAAGGATTCTGACTATGTAGATGAAGCTTAAGTCATCCAGAAGGGAAACAGGAATTGCAGACAGATACTGTGAGCAACGTTGCCTTCAAGCTTAGTGCCACTGCCTTACAAATTGGAGTCACTTGTGGTCCTTGCCACCCAACTTTTGCTTAGGGAAGAAGCAATAAAACTATAGATAAAGGATTCTAGAAGAAAGAATCAGTAACTGTGCTGTGGCAGAGGGAATAAGGGCACCTGGTATTTAGTGGCACTTCTACATGCTGTATACTCCAGAGAATCAATGTTTCCTCTCAGTGGATAGAACTCAGGGAATCTGCATTTTAAAAATCAGGCCAGCCATGGAATAAAAGTTTATATGACTCTTTCTCAACTAATAACTGGGAATGGTGGTGTGTGCCTGTCATCCTCAGTAATGTGGATAAACACAAGTGGAAAGATCATAGCCCAGACCACCTGAGAATATTGGAAATCCTACCTTGGAAATAACCAATGCAAATAGGGGCTAGATGTGTAAGCAAGTGGTACAGTTCAAGCCTTAGGCCTTGAGTTCAACCCAAAATACCACACACACACATACACACACACACACACACATTCCTGATGGAAATGGAGTTCAAAGTGCCCAACTTAGATTGTGGTTAGTCTAAAAAAGTCTGATGTTTACCTATGTCAGTAACCTGGTACTGAAGATAGATTATGATTCTAAAATCTCACCTTGGTTTGAGCCCTGTCTCTGTGAGTTATAGCTATGACATCTTATGAAGTCACTTTTACCTCTGATTTAACATGACCAGATCTAAAAAGAGAAACCCTATACTTCCCTACAGCGTTTTCAGGCTTAAATGACAACATGGGCTTAAAAGTTTCTGTGAATGCCGCTTACAAAAATGTTAACAAAGTTGTCAAAATTGTCTAAACGTATTAACATAGTTGAGGGAAAAATAGGAAGATGATGTCATGCAGAAAAGAGTAATGGATCCAAAATTAGAACCATCCAGAAAGAACTACCCACCATATAATAAAACTGCTAAATTTTATGAGTCATAAAAATATTTTATTAGTTTCTTATAAAAAAAGAAAGTGATTTTATTACCAAAAAGCAATAAAAGAGGAGATGTTTTGAACTGGCCTTTTGCCCAGTTCAATTGTGTCCTGTGCTAAAACAATCTCCCTTTGGAAAGTATCCTGTCATTCCCTTCTAGAACATTATATTTGCTCTCTTGAGTAGGAGCAATTCCTATATTCCTATATTTACGTCAGCTCTTCTCAGCCTTTGCAGGTAACAGTTTCATGCTGGATTGTGCAAGTTACAGATATTTGCTATCAAAATTGGTCAAAGGGAAATACAGATTCAGAAGGATAGATTTCATCTTTGGAAAAGAGACAGAAAATAAATCCAATGTTAAGAAAAGTCAACCCTACAAATGATCTGGCCATGAATTTATGGTGAAGCTTGAAGAACCTAGATAGTCTGGAAACTTCCTTATCACCTTGCTATGTCTGTGTTCATAGGCCTTATAATGGAGCTCTCAGTTTTTACTGCAGAAAGAAAGAAAGAAAGAACGAAAGAAAGAAAGAAAGAAAGAAAGAAAGAAAGAAAGAAAGAAAGAAAGAAAGAAAGAAAGAAGAAAGAAAGAAAGAAAGGGAGGAAGGGAGGGAGGGAAGGAGGGAGGGGGAAGGAAGGGAGGAAGGAAGGAAGGAAGGAAAGAAGAAAGGAAGGAAGGAAGGAAGGAAGGATAAAAATAAAGAAAGAGGGAGAAAAGGAAGGGAGAGAGGGAGGGAGGGAGAGAAAGAAAGAAAGAGAGAAAGAGAGAGAAAGAGAGAAAGAAAGAGAGAGGAAGGAAGGAAGGAAGAAAGGAAGGAAAGGAGGGAGGGAGGGAAAGAGGGAGGGAAGGAAGGAGGGAGGGAGGGAGAGAGGAAGGAAGGAAGACAAAAAATGCTTTTGCTAACAGAACAATCTTGAGATTTTTAAAGATGTTTCTGGAAAGAAAATGCAATTCTTTTTCCTGGATTTATCGTGAAACGCATAACAAAAACAGGTGAGCATTAATGTTTGGGAAATAAATACTCTTTTATTCTATTTACATGGCAATGGACTTAGCACTTCAGCATTTGGTTTGTTGTTCCAATCACACACCTGCAACTCGCTGACAGTGCCAGTAGTTCTGAAACATCCTAATTTTGTAATAATCCATATTTGTACAAAGGGTCTTCTTTTCAATATATTTTCCCTTGTGGAATATATTCCCTGATGTACCTCACATTTCTATTTCTATTTAATGATTTATCTACCTTCACAAAGTCTCCCCAAACATTTTATTTTTGACTTTGTATAACATGAAATTCAACTTTTAAAAATATGTCCCTCCCCCACAGTATAACCCCTGCTTTCACTGTATTTAATGTCGGTATAATTTGTGGAGGGGAAGGGGAAAAACAAATCGTTTAAATAGGGATACAGGTGGACCCATTGCAACAATGAGAT